TTCTCATTCTTTATGGATGAGTAGCATTCCATTTCATAGAAAAAAACACATCTTCTTTATCCAGTTTCCAACTGATGGACAAATGGGCTGTTTCCAAGTTTTATCTATTACAAACTTTGCCGCTATAAAATAGGTGTGATATATCACTGTGGTATGATTCTTTTAATTCTTTTGGAAAGCTACCCAAGAGAGGGATGGCTGGGTCAAATGGAACCTCTAGTCCCAGCTCTTTGAGGTATCTCCATATTGATTTCCATAGTGGTTGTACCAGTCTGCACTCCCACCAACAATTGAGAAGAGTTCCATTCTCCCCACAACCCTGCCAGCACTTGTTATTGGTTGATTTCTTGATAGCAGCCATTCTTTGTGGGGTGAGGTGGAATCTTAGTGTTGGATACAACATCAACACCCAAAAATCAATAGCCTTTTTGTACACAAATAACAGACGCAATGAGAGAGAAATTAGGGAAACAATTCCTTTCACAATAGCATCCAAAAAATGAACTATCTAGGAATCAATCTAACAAAAGAAGCAAAAGACCTCTACACTGAAAACTACAGCACTCTGAAAAAATAAATCGAAGAGAATATAAGAACATGGAAAGATATCCCCTGCTCCTGGGTAGGAAGAATCAACATAATGAAAATAGCCATACTACCAAAACTTCTATACAGATTCAATGCAATGACAGTTGAAATTCCTGGGTCTATTTCTTTGCTTTAATCTGTGAACATTTCAAGATCTGCATGCTGTAATGGCAGGTCTGTTGGATCAGACTCAAAATGACTCAGGACAAACTCATGATTCTGGCACAGTCTTTTGTAATAGCTACACTCACACATGCATGCATAAGAGACCTTATTTCATAACATCCTGGCTCTATTTACTCTCTGTTAGGTGACTCCATCTCCATTCTAACAACTCTTAGGCTTTTGTAATATCCCCCCACTGGTGCTTGTGAAAATCTCTGAAGTTATTACTGATCAGCTGTCCTGTATTTACATTTCTTTAGTCTGTCCGCATTGAGAGGAACCTTTCCAAGTTGTAGATCTTATCGGTCCCAAAATGGAAGGGAAGTGAGTGATGTTTGATCAGTAGTCAGTGTCATTACCCTGTTAGCCAAATTTGAGAATAAGGAGGTTTACAAGGTGGGATCCTTAAACTAAGAATTAACCTGGATTCCATTGTAAAGTTTAAGCTTACGTTTCTGGTAAATGATGGCTAGTATCTTAAAACATTGGATCAAATCATCTTGCTGTGAGTGTTCTTTTGCAGAATTTTGAAAGGCAATAGGTGCGAATTTTTAAAAGGAAAATATTCACCAGAACAAGCAAGAGGAAAATAAAGTGAGTCTGTAACCAAGAAACATGATTTTTAGTGAAACCAATTTTTACCAAAGACAAGCAAAGGAAACCCAATTGGTCTGGAGTACTTTTTAGTGTGTGTGTGTGTGTGTGTGTGTGTGTGTGTGTGCGTGTGTGAATCTGACTGTAAATGATTTAGAGAAGAATAAAATTGCGAAAGACAAAAGACTTGGAATGGCCATGGTTAGTGTTCTTATGAGAGTTTAGAAATTGACAAAATAATTAGTTTTTTTCCATGTTACACAATATGTTTGAATTACAATTATGAATGATAGCACTATATCCATAGCTTTGCTTTCTCATTATTTTTTCACTGCTTTTTTACCATTTTGTTTTTAAGACTACTTTTAAATTTTCATTCTGTGTACGAATAATATACTTTTTTGTAACTCCTCAATTGTAGACTATTTTATCCAATTACAAAATAATAGGTGGCACAAAATATATCCTTGTCTGTATTTGCTATTTTTAATTAAATGATTTTTAGAAGTAGAATGTGATTGTTATAGAGGTGTTTTAGGTGAGCAACAATCTAACCTTTTCAATTTTTAGAGTTTTCTGAAGCTGAGCATTTTAGAAGGAAAAGCAAAACTACAGTTGAATGACAAAGAAGCCAGCAGTAATTAGAATCACAGCTAACCAAATGCTCTTTAAACATTAGCTAAGCATTTACTTTTGAAGGGAAATTTAGAATCTTTTAAATAGTCTACATAGGTTGATATCACCAAGAATAATACAGAATAGCTTCAGATATTTTAGAATTTTAGGAAACATTTTTAATAACCATGAACAGATTTCCTACCTGATGTATACACGCATCTCATATACCCAACAGCAGCATGCTTTTTTAATCAAAGCACACAGATGTAGATCAGGTTTGATATGCAAGGATTATTCAACTGGTAGTTTGTTTTTTTTCCATCTGAATAGTACTCAATTAAAATGGTAGAAGGGACAGCATTTTATTGATCATTTTATGCATTTATAGATCTGTTGCAATGCATATTTTGTAAAAGAGAGCACTTTTAGTTACCTTGCAAGTATTAAAATCATATACTTTTAATTTTACAAATTTCTGCATGACATTTAAGCAAAACTCATGTATGCAGCATATTACTAATCATATACAATATTACCTTGGTTCATGAATGCTTCTGTTTGCAAACAATTTGGTTAGAAAACAAAAGCCTCCAGCAAAATTTTGCTTCCGTTCACAAACTCCACATAGGGTGACAAACATGACCATGACTGTCTTCTTCACCCAAACACAAATGCAGCCATCTTGTGCCAAATCATAAAAAAATTAAGTTTGTAAACGGAGGCACCACTGTATAGCCATATCCCTAATCTCAGAGGTGTAGACTGTCAGGTATACGGTGGTAAGCCAAAATAATAATTGTTTTTAACTGGATTTATAACTAAAGTGATCATTGAAGAGAGTTTCAAACAAATAGATGCTTTATGCAACCCCTGACTCTGGTAAAACTCAGTCATCTAAGAAATCAAGCCCTAACGGTGGAAAACACAAGAAATTGTCTTGATAATCACTGTTGTTTCTTTTAAGTCATTTTTTGTAAATAAGAGAAAAATCAATACTTTAAAAAATCTCACTGTTTTAAGCATAAAGGAATAGAATTTAGTTCCGTATCAATGTGTTAAATTTTGATTCTTAGAAAATGCTTTAAATAACCTTTGAACTACAGCTAATGTAATCACACATATAGGTTTTCTCTTATAGCAGTTCTTTTTTTTTTTAACCTTTTCTTTGGGGATTGAACTCGGGTCCTTGCGCTTGCAAGGCAGGCCACCGAACTGCTGAGCTAAATCGCCAGCCCAATAGACCTTTTCTGACCTGACCTATCCAGACATTCTACAGCTTGAACAATTTAATTGTTTAGGACAAAAATGTCTCGACATTTTCAGACATTACCATTTTGTTATTAAGACTACATTTAAATTTTCATTCTGTGTGTGAATAATACACTTATTTGTAACTCCTCAATAGTAGACTATTTTTATCCAATTACAAAATAATAGGTGACTCAAATACATCCTTATCTCACTATGTAGTCTAGGATGGCCTTGAACTCACTATGGAGCCCTGGCTAGCCTCAAACTCATTGTAATCCTCTTGGCTCAACCTCTTGAGTGCTGGGATTACAGGCATGTGCCACCACGACCAGCTCAGAAAAATGTTATATTACTATGTATTTTGTTTCCTCAGATCATATAAATTTTGGCCTTTTACAGAAAATATATCCCCTGAATTATGTTTTTTTTTTCAAGACAGCTTCTCTTTTTAATTCAGGCTGGCCTTCAACTCACTATGTATCCTAGGCTGGCTTTGAACTCAGCATCGTCCTGCCTCAGTCTCGTGAGTCCTGGGCAACCATGCCAAATTTGTATGTTTTATACCTACTTTTATTTAGTCTCTTTTTGCTGCCTTCACCATTCTAAATCTGCACTTATGAAACTTCTGAATTTACACAGTCATCATCTTTTTATTAAAAGCTAAATTTTTTTTTATTTCTTTCATATAGAAGTACAAAATTGACTAGAATTAACCTGTCAGTAATTTTATGCTTAGTGAAGTCCCGGGAAGAAATCAATCTTTTTTTGTTGTTTTTTTTTGTTTTTTTTTGTACTAGAGATCGAATTCAGGACCTTGTTCGAGGCTGGTGCTTGCATCACTGAGCTAAATCCCCAGCCCTATTCAATCTTAAACCTTTGTTTTGTACAACAATAATTTATGAAAACACATCAAACACACCTAAATATATTCTCTTATAGAATCTAAGAATCCAAGAGTAGTTGAATCCATATTTAGCAGATGGTGTTTTAACATGCCAATTTCCCTAGAAGTGACTTTGATGTCTTATTATAAATGTTTCTCTTTTTTACATGTACTTTATTTACCCATTTTTACAGCTATTTTAGATTAACCACATAAACCAATAAACTAAATATGCATAGTTACTATTTTTAGTTATTTCTCTTCTGTGGCCGTAAATTTTCAAAGTTATGACATGTGAAACATGAACAGCAATGGTCGTTCCATTTGAAATGTTTAACAAAGACATATATAATCCTTACTGGCCAAAAAACTTGGCCATAAATATATGCCAACTATTTTTTGAGAAGGAGGGTGGGTACTGGGGATGGAACTCAGAACTCTGAGCTTGCCAGGCAGGCGGCGGCACCAGTGAGCTAAATCCCTGGCCCTGTGACAAGTATTTTAAAGATAGCTCTATTTTTAGTTCCCTGAGAAGGACCCGTACCTCTGCTTTGTTCCAGAGGCTTCTGGAACCCAAACTAACGCGCCTGTGCTAGGGGCGCATTAACTTGCCACTTGCACAGGCTGTCAGGAGCTCGCACTCAGTCAGCAAGGCATGTCAATCTGCAGGAACTGGCAGAGGAGCGCCCCTGGCGACCAGGCCATGAAGTTCAGGGAGACGCACCTTCACAAGTGTGGGATAGGAGGCTTCCTCCAGCCTAAGCAATCTGGTTTCTTCTAGTCCCGACCCGTCGCTAGGTGGCGGGCAGTTTACTGAGTGGCGCGAAAAGAGCACGAGGTAGGGCTTTATCTCGCAGAATAATGCGAGAGTTGTGCATTGCGCCCCCTTTCGGCCCACGTCGCGATGCCGTGAAGGGGCGTGTTTTCCTCACCTTTGGGGTTTGGAACCTGCTGCTTCTTGTCGCGGAGCTGGCAAAGGGTGAGAAGAGCTGGGTCAACGGGACCCTACCGGCCCCTGGGGTGGGCACACGGGAGGAAAGACCCCGCAATGTGCCACTCCGTGTCCCTAGGGCCGGGAAGAAGGAGCAGGGCCACAGCCAGACCCTCGAGGTGGGGGAGGGGCCAAGGATAGCCGAAGCGTGGAGGACTCGCGAGGGCCTTAGCCGGGTCCCTGTGAGGCCAGTGTCCCTCAGATTTGTTCCCTAAGAGACCTCAGGGCGGAGGAGCAATTTTCAGAGCTGTGGGATCTCCAGGGTGAATATTAATCAAGGACCCTGATCATAGGCCACCTTCATCCTCGCAGAAACAGGCGTTTAATCGTTTCAGGGATGTCTCCTTTGTTTCCAATTGTTTTCTTTTCCTCATATTTTTTCTTTTCCCTTCTTTCCTTTCCCCTACCCTTCCCACTTCGCCTAAATCTTTAGACATTTTCTTCCTGTTTCACATTATCAATTATACAATTTGAACCTTATTTACACTGTTAGTTTCTCATACCATAGAAACTATTCGGTATCTACACATGTGCGTCCTATTTATTTCATTTAAGAGCCTGACTTCAATATGAATCTATCTAGCTATAAATGTTTCTAGTTTCTTGTTGTTTTTGGCTGAGTAGTACTCCATTTTATTAAAAAAAAAAAAAAACAGTCTTTATCCATTCTCCAGGCGATGGGCAATTGGGCAGTTTCCAAGTTTTACCAATTACAAACTGTGCTGCTATAAAGATGAGAGCATATATGTCACTGTAATATGATTCTTTTAATTCTTTTGGAAAGATACCCAGCAGAAGGGCAGCTGGATCAAGTGGGAACTCTAGTCCTAGTTCTTTGACGTATCTACATATTGATTTCCACAGTGGTTGTACCAGTCTGCACTCCCACCAACAATGGAGAAGGGCTCCTTTCTCCCCACAACCCCACCGGCACTTGTTATTGGTTGATTTCTTGATGGCAGCCATTCTTTGTGGGGTGAAGTGGAATCTCAGCATTGTTTTCATTTGCATCTCTCAAATGACCAGTGATGTTGAACATTTTTTCATATATTTGTTTTCTGTTTTTACTTTTTTGAGAAGTGTTTGTTCATTTCAGATGCCCATTTTTGGATTGGGTCTTTAAATTTGGGAGGTCTGATTTTTTTTTTTGAGTTCTTTATATATTCTAGAGCGTAGATCTCTATCTGAGGAACAGCTGGAATTTTTTCCCACATTGTAGTTTGTCTTTTCACTCTGTTGATGGTTTCTCTTGCAGTGCCGAAGCTTTTTAATAAGATGAGATCCCAATTGTTGACTATTTGTGCTAGTTCCCGTGCTACTGAGAATTCATTCATACAGTGTTTTCCTATGTCAGTGTCTTCAAAGAGTTCTACCTTACTTATCTTCCAGCAAGTTTAGTGTTTCTGTTTTAATATTTAGATCTTTAATCCACTTTGATTTTACTTTAGTGCATGGTGAAAGATAGGTGTCTAATTTTAATCTTTGGCATGTTGAAATCCAATTTTTCCAAAACAATTTATTGAAGAGTCTATCTTTCTTCCACTGAGGATGGTTGGCTCCTTTGTCAAAAATGGCGTAACTGAGTATGTACTCCAAATTTAAATATCAACAATGCACATCCCTGAGTATACTTGAGATCATGTCTAGATTGCTTATAATACATCATTGAATGTAAGCACTCTGGAAATAGTTCTTACATTATATTGTTTAGGGCATGAGGAGAGAAAAGGTCTGCACCTAATCAATACAGAGGTGGTATTCTAACAAAAAAAAATTTTTTTATCATGGTACAGGGATAGAAATCACGACCTTGTGCTTGCCAGGCTGGAGCTGTGCTGCTGAGCTACATTCCCAGCCTTCTTCCCAATATTTTCAGTCTACCTCTGGTTGAATCTGAGGTGGTGGATTCAACCGCACGGATACAGCCGGCCAAGTGTAAGTTTACTGAGCATACCCTGTGCAGGTAGAGTGCTGTTTGCTCTTCCTTTGCCACACAGCAGGAAATTTTATGTACCTCGTATTCCATACAGAGTCACTGGGTGATAGTTCAGAAGCTTTGCGAGGTATGGGGCCAAGGGTGTCGATGGTGGCAGGCTGGATAGAAAAGGAGTCATGAGTATATCCTTTTCATGCTCCCAGGGAAGAAGAAAGGGACAGGGGCTGATGCGACTCTTTTTTGTGTTTTCCTCCTCTGTGCTGTAGGTGCACACACCCCTTCCGGGTGATTTCAGAGAAAAACAAAGTAGAAGCTAAGCCTCGGGCTCCAATCAACAGTGAACAGCTGAGAAAGCACCATCGCCATGGAACGGGGTCGTGAGATGCAGGCCTCCTTGCTCTCCGTGGAGGATCCCATGCAGCAGGACACTGACACTGACTGTGAGGTCTCCCGCATGCAATTCAGACATTTCAAGTACAGTGAAGAAGAAGGCCCATGGGAAAACTTCAACAGACTCTGGGAACTTTGCTGTCAGTGGTTGAAACCAAAAGTACGCTCCATAGAACAAGTCCTGGAACTGCTCGTGATGGAGCAGTTCCTCACTGTTCTGCCCACAGAGATAGAGACGTGGGTGAGCGCGTATGCCCCAGAGAGTAAAGAGAAATTATTTGCACTGATAGAACTCTTACAAAGTGAAAGTGAGCCAGCAGGACATCAGGTGAGAAAAAAGAGGCTGGGATCTTTGTTATTGGACCAAGGGGGAGGGAACCCAGGAAGCTGGGTCTAGAACAGACATTTTCACGCTGTGTCATTGTGGAGCCCCAGGACTTCTTCAAAGTCCTTTTCAGTTTGCTTTTCTGCTGCCATCAGCATCTGAGTCAGTGATTCTGTCATGTTTTATACCTTCCTTTGACATATGTATAGTAATGTGGACTTTACTGTCTGTATATTAAAAACACAAACAGCATCGGCTCCACAGCTACATCAACCAAAATCATCAGTAATTTGCTCTCTGGCCTATGGCCATATACGCTGTTGGCCCTTTTTGTGTGCTCAGGTAGATGATAGCGATTTTCACTGTGTCAAATTAATTTTGATAGAGGAACAAGGAAAATAAACGAGAGAGTAAATATGGCCCCCACTGCTGAAAACATTTGCTGCTTGACTCTTTACAGAATCACCCTTTCAAACCTGAGTCAAGCAGAGTCTAGAACAGGTGTGAAAGGAAAGGAACAGAGTTTATCATGTGGTAGGGGGTGTTTCTCCTTAAGCAGGACTGGGCTTGATTTTGCCAGAAGCCCTCGGCATGGTCTGAAGCCTGCATCTCTGCTTAGAATCACCATGATGGGGCAGTCATCAGAAAAAGGCTCAAGTACTGTGAACCTTATTGTTGCTTGTGATGAGTTTTCCCAAAGTGACCAGGAAATCCTGGAAAATCAGACCAACCTATAGCGTAGTCTTACTGCGATTCGCACAGTGGTGCATTCCTGGGAACATCAAGTCATGCTCAAGTATGCAAAAATCATTTGATTGTCTCTGAGCCACAGGACATCGTCCTTGGCAGATGCTTCTTACCTACATGAATATTTGAGGGGAACTCCAGAGTTGGTAGAAACCAGGAACAGCTCTGCACTGCAAATGATGCTCCCATGTCTGACCCACTTGGCTCCAACAGCACCACAAGGCAGCATGTCCAGAACTGCCACTTCCCCAGGGTTTGGGGGCTTTGGCACTGCCCCTTGTTTAGAGCAACCACTGTGCAAAGCCTCCTCAGGAAGGGCAGGCTGAGCAGAGGGCAATATGTGGAAGGGGGGAGCAAGTGCTTCCACTTGGAGATTCAGGACCCTGAGTGTGCTGTGGGTGGGTTTGGCAGGAGCCGGTGAGTTCCAGGCAAGTCACCAGTCTTCCTGACAGAAGCCTGAACAGCAGTCTCCCCATCATCCCTGGCTCCCTAGAGGAGCTTGGCCTAGTGCGTTCCCTTCTTTTCTCTCTCTTTTTGCATGCCCTGTACAGTACAGGAGCCACTAGCCATGGGTGGAACTTGAGCATTTGAAATGTGGCCAGTGCTAATTCAGACCTGTGTTGAATGGAAAACATCTGCCACATGCAGAATGCGCAAAAGACTTGGTATTATGGGAACGATAGGTGGATTATCTCAGCAGTAATTGTACTAATAATATGTTGAGATCCTGATGGTTGGGCTGTACTGAAATCAACATGACATCCTATTTAGTTGACCTGTTGTGTTTTCTCATGCAC